CTGAGTGCTGAGATTACAGGCATGCACCACCATGCCCGGCCATCTTTCCATTTTCTGATGTGATTTTCAGTCATCTTTTTCAGAGTACTGTCATTCTCACTGTAGAGATTTTTCTTCTTTTGTTAGGTTAATTCCTAAGCATTTAATTTTTTCTTGATGCTATTGGGGATGGTATTGTTTTCCTAATATCTTTCTCAGTAAGTTCCTTATTGGTATACATGAATGCTATTGATTTTTGTGTGATGATTTTGTGCCCTGATACATTGCTGAATTTGATTATTAATTCTAGGAGTCTTTTGGTGCAATTTTTGGGTCCTCCATGTAAAGGATCATGTCATCCCCAAATGACTCCTTCCTTTCCTGTCTATAGGAATTTAACTTCTTCCATTGCTATCTATATCCTTTTTATTTCTTTCTGTGGCCTGATTGCTTTAATATTTCAAGTACTATACTGAATAGGCATAGTGATAGTAGGCAGCCTTGTCTTGTTCCTGATTTTAGATGGAAAGTTTTCAGTTTTTCTCCATTTGATCTGATGTTGTCAGTAGGTTTTTCATAAATGGATTTTATCAGATTAAGATAAATTCCTTCTATACCTATTTTCTTCAGAGTTTTCATCATGAATGGATGTTGAATTTTGTCAAGGCTTTTTCTGCATCTATCAAAATTATCATGTGGTTTTTGACCTTGCATCCTTATGTGATGCACTACATTTATTGATTTCCATATGTTGAACTATCCCCATATCCCTGGGATGAGGCCATTTTTGGTCATGATGTATGATCTTCTTAGGATTTGTTACATTATGTTTGCCAGGCTCTTTTGAAGATTTTTGCATCTATGTGCATTAGAGTTATTAGCCTACAGTTCCCTTTTTTTGCTTGGCTCTTTCTCTGGTTTTAGAATCAGGATAGTGGTAGTTTCTAGGAACAACTTTAGGGATACTCCTCCCCTTTCAGTTTCATTAAAGAGCTTGAGGAGTATTGGCATTAGATTTTCCCTGAAATTCTTACAGAATTTAGCAGTGAATCTGCTGAGACTTGGGATTTTCTTAGCTGGTAAGTTTTGTATTATGGTCCCAATTTCATTGCCTGTTATTGGATTATTCAGGATTTTTAAATCTTCTTGTTTCAGCTTTGATAATTATTATTTATATAGGAATTCACCAATTTCTCCTGGGTTCTCCAATTTATTGATGTACAAGTTTTCAAAGTAGTTGCTGGTACTCTTCTGGATTTCAGAGGTGTCTGTTTTCATTTCTGGATTGATTTATTTCCTTTTTTGGTAAGATTGGCTGGGGGTTTGTCTATTTTGGGTATTCTTCCAAAGAACTATCTCATGCCTGCCTGGCAAGCACAAGATCCTGAGTTCGATTTCCGGTACCAAAACAAAAAACAAAAAACAAAGAACTATCTTTTTGATTCATTGATTCTTTGTGGGGTTTTTTTTGTTTTTTTTTTTTTTTTAGTCTCAATTTCACTAATTTCTGCTCTGAGCTTTACAGTTTCCTTCTTTACATCAGCTTTGGATTTGGATTGTTTTTGCTTTTCTAGGACTTTGAGGTTCATTATTTTGTTATTTATTTGGGCTTATTGTGTTTTTCTGATGTGGGCATTCACAGCTATAAACTTGCCTTCAGGTCTGCTTTCAGTGTGTCCTATAAGTTCTGGTATCTTGTACTGGCGTTATCATTTGATTCTATTTCTTGTTTTTGACACAGTAATTGCACATATTTATGGGGTACAGTGTAACCTTTCAGTACATGTATACAGGAATAATGATCAGAGCAGGGTAATTTGCATATCTGTCACCTTAGACACTTATTTGTTAGCTATTTTGAAATTCAGTGGATTGTTGTAAACCATAGTTTCCATACTATGCTATAGAAATTAGAAGTTGTTCCTCCCAGGCCGCCATCCCACAACACCCATTACCCACCCCCTCTCCGCACTCCCTCCCCGACACCCTGCCCAGGCCCTGGTAACAACTGTCTACTCCTTACTTCACTGAGATTCATGTTTAGCTCCACACCGGTGAGAACATGCAGTACTTGTCTTTCAGTGCCTGACTTATTTCACTTAACAGAATGTCCTCCAGTTCCATGTTGCTGAAAATAATGGGGTTTCATTCTATGGCGGTGGTTAAACAATATTCCCTGGTGTGTATACACCACATGCTCTTTACCTGCTCATATGTGGGAGGGTATCTAGGTTGATCCCACACTCTGGCTACTGAAACATCTGTTTTCATTTTCCCTACCTTGGCCCATAAGCTTTTGAAGATTCACAGTGACCTCTGTGTCTGCTGGTTCCTCACAGCCCTAGACCCTTAGCTGGAGTTTGTTCTGTTAATAAAAAGACTGCTTTGCTGTCTTCCCCGTGCTCCTCAGCCAGGGCTCTGCTCTGTCTCCACGTACGGTGAGCACAGCACGACACTCAGGAGGCCCTGGCAAATCCTCCCACTGTTCTCCAGCAGCTGGGAGATCTTATCACGCAAATGAGAACAACCTAACTGGTCACCGAAACTGTAATTCACTGGGTGACTGGGACAAACTCTTGTCTTCTTAGAATTTCAGATAAACACGCTTCCTTCACGAATTTGGATGGTAAAGTGACGGTCACTCCATACAGCAAATGTAAGGTTGTCATCAACGGGGTGCCTATCACAACCAGGACAAAGCTGCAGCATTTGGTAAATTTCCTGCTGGGCCACAGAGGTTCCTAAGTCCCACCCAAGAGCTAGGAGAGGAGGTTCGGGTGAAGAAACCCTGAGTCATGCCAAGGGGACGGGGCATGGCTGGGCACTGCCCACCTCGTTGGCCTCTGCTATGGCTCATAGTAAGGACATGAGCACAGCTGCTGGGCTGGCAGAGCGCTCCTAGCTTGCTGGTGTCCTGAGGCGAGTCGCTTCACTTCTCTGGGCCTCACCTACGAAAAAGGAGGGCTAAACTAGGTAGTCTCCTGAAGAGCCTGTCATTGGAAGGGACTGTGCAGCCTCTCACTGACATCGGTGCCACTTCGTCCCCACACCCAGCCGTCCCTGCCACTGCAGTGGCTCCTATGGGTTCTCCGTAGCCGCCTCCCTGCCAGTCTGTCCCTTTTAGACTGGCAGATGGGTTTATCACTCTCCTTCTGGAAAGCCGTCAGCCACCTCCTTGAGGGCCCCTGCCTGAGCTCCGCCTGCCTTCAGCCTCCTCGCTGCCCCAGGCTCACTGATCTCCTCTGGGTTGTTCAGCAGTGGTTGTCCCTGCCCACCAGTCTCCCACACATGAAATCTCCACTTAGTATTCCATCTTGCATGAGGACTTCTGTCCCCAGTGTGGTAGGCCTTTTGGACGCTGCTGAAGCCCTCTGCTTTTCCCCGCAGCTTAGGATTTCATGGGGATTCCTTCCATCCTCCAGGGAGGGGTCTGTGTGGTCTCTGCGGATCCTCTGTGCCTGTCAGGGAGGTAGCACTGGGTAGGCAGAGCCAGAGCTGTACACAAAAGCAAGATGGTGCCCTTACGTCCTCCTTCATGGACCTCTTCCCATGAAATTTGGGGGATTTCCCAAAGAAAGAGATTTCTCAGAGCCTTCTAGGGGGGGCACAGGGCCTTGGCTCCTCCTGAGAGGCTGCCTCGTCTCTGTCCTGCCCGCCGAGGTCCACCTCTGTGTCTGTCTCCTCCCTAGGACCGCATTATTTTGGGCTCCAGCAGTGCCTACCTCTACATCGGGTTTCCTTTGGAGCGAAGCAGTGAGGACCTGAGCAGATTTGACTATGACTTTTTCCAGCTGGAGAGGGCAGCTGCGGAGGGAGTGAGCGTGGACAAGCTCGGTGAGGCCCCCGAGCCAGCTCCCCACGTCTTCTATGTGCCGATTCAAGCAGTTGCTTTCACTGTGTGCCCGCTTGCTTTCCTTAAGCAAACCGTCTTTTACTGTGTCAGAACACAGAGGGCTCAAAGTTAAAAATGTGATTCCCCTACGAATGTAGAGTGAGTCCATATCAAAGATCGGTTTAACACGTTGAACTGTTTCCCTTAGGAACAAGGGCGCAGAGAACTCAAAGGAGTGTAGATGGCAGTGGTATACACAGTGAGTGCAGGAAAGAATGCCAAGATGTTTTGGGGTTAGATAAAGCAACTGCTGGCCTTCTGTCCCACCCAGAGGCCTCTAGCCCCAGAGATAATCTGGGACTCCTCCTAGGTGAAGGCGTTCAGAAGCTCTGCCCTCTGCCTGGCCCTCCCCGACCCCACGCCTAGGTGGAGGCCCTGCCTGCTCTCCCCTAGGTTCACTGTGTTTGAGCCTTCGATATGTTGGCTTCCCAGGGGAGGCCCTTATGTTTTGTACATCTTAAAGCAGGGGTGGAAAGCAGGGGACCCTACTACATTAGAGTTCCTCCCCTCTCCAGCCATGCTAAAGAGGCTCTATCAGAATTTCAGCAAAATAAGCTGGTTTGAAATCCCCGGCCTTGCTCTTCTTCTACTGAAGTGCTTAACCAAAGCCAAACAAGTCTCCGTAGTACCAGGCTGGATAATCCACCTATCCACGGGTTCGTTCACAGCAGCACAGGGTGGGGTGCAGTCAGCCTCAGACCCCGGGTTGAAGGTGCCCATGTGCTAGCGATGACTGTGGGTCCCCAACAAGGCGGCTTTGTGGGCGTCCTGGGGAATCAAGCTGCAGGGCAGCAGGGCACTGCGAACCACAAGCCGGGACCTACAGAGCCGAGAGTTCCCTGGAAAGGTGGTAAGAACCCATGTTGGGAGCGGACTGGGCTTCCCGTAAGGTCCGTGTCATCCTCCTTCAAGCCACCCAAATATACGAGAAGAAAGAGCTTTTCTGTGCTAGCTGAAACTTCAAGGTAAATTCCTAGCCAGCTGGATTTTATCGCTCATCACCACCTGAAAAATCTGGAGTCACTTTGCGTCAAACAAAGGCTTTTTGAGACCAAAAGTGGGACTTGAAGGCACAGAGTCTGCTGTCAGGCTGCAGCAAGACAGAGTTGAAAGGGGCAGTTACATGAATGAATGAATGAATGAATGAATGAATGAATGGATGGATGAATGAGTGAATGAATGAATGAGTGAGTGAATGGGCATATAAATGTGTGTACAGCTGGGAAGTATCAGAGAACAAATGACAGGCTTTCATTTCCATTCTTTTCCCAGGTGCTGTGAGCAGTGCAGATGGCCAAGCAGACCCCAGTGTCCTGGCTGTATTCCAGGACTACATCAAACTCATGCCACTGGTTGCAGAAGCAAATCAAATGAGTGAAGAGCTAAAGAAGGTACTTTATCTAGAGCCAAAAAACAGCATAGTGTCAGGTCCAGAGAGGACCTTGAAGCCTAGAGAGCTGTGGGGCTTACCCAAGGCCACACAATAAACTAGTGATAAAAACTAGACTAACCCCCAAGCCTTCCCAGCCAGCCCTGGGCCCCATTCCTGCCTTTGCTGATCACGGACCGGTGCCATAACCGCCCCATCTATGATTTTCCCAGTAACTCTCTGGTCTGGGTACCACGATGACTGATATACCACTGAGAGGGGCTGGGGCTGGAGTTAGCTGACCCAAAATCCTAGTCAGCAGGAACCTTGTAAGAGAATTCATTACTTCAATAAGTAGGAGGCACTGTTCCAAGATATCGTTGAGAAATTCTGGTGTTTTGCCATTTGTCTTGATGGAATTTCAAGGACCATGTTCTTTTAGAAAGCCTGAGTGTGGGAAGACTGTAAGGAAAGTGAATTGCAAAAGGAATATTATGGCTTGTGTCTAGAGGTCCCCCTAAAGCCTCATGTAGTCATGGGTGGGGCTTTTTCAGAGGTGGCTGCATCTAGTGAATGATACTGAAATTGACTCACGGTACAATGCTGGGATCAAGGGCACAGACTAAGGGTGTGAATGCTACCACCCTGAGTAGCCTGGCTAAAATAAAAGGGGAAGAAAGACACTGTTAGGGTCCCTTGCTTGCTTGCTCTTGCTGTCTTCTGCTTGCCATAAACTGGTCCTACTCTGTGATGCCCCTCTGCCAAGCCACCCTGCCTTGGAGCCAGCTGATTATGGACTGAAACCTCTACAAACTGTGAGCTACATAAACCTTCCTTCCCTTAACTTGTGGGTGTTGGGTGTTTTGTCTCAGCAACAAGAAAAATGACTAAGACAGGGGATATGAGTTAAAAAATGGATTATTTAGTGAGAAGTATTGTTTTCACCAGGGACTTGAAATGGAATTGAAGGTGAAGAACTTAGCATCATCAGATTCCAGGGGTTATGACCTGCAAAAAGAGGTCATGGTGAAGGTGACCAACCAAAGGACTCATGAGGTGAGTACTCATCTGTGGGCAGGTGTAAGCCTCCCGAGGGTTTTCTGGGGACATAGGTTATTCTACCAACACTTCCAGTATGCGCTGGGGTCCTGAGGCACTGTCTTCCACATTCCCTCTTCTTGTCCCTTCCACATAGTGTCAATTCATGGACTCTTTCCTGACCTCCACCACAGAACGGCCTCTTAATTTTAGTGTGACTCGAAAGCTTTAGTACCAAAAGGGCACCTGAAAGTTTATCCAAGTGGTAATGGTGCCCATGTCCGTGTGTGTGAATGTGTGAGTGTGTGTGTGTGTGTGTGCGTGCGTGCACACACAGAAGAGAAAATTGCCATTTTAAGGCAATAGGAAAACTGGGTGTGGTGGCGCATGCCTGTAATCCCAGCACTCAGGCGGAAAATCCACATTTTCACAGGACTGGAAAAGGCCATTCTGCTGACTCCACAGGCAGATTCACTCCCATGCCATCCCCTCCAGGAAGTTTTTTATGGACTTCTCACCTGGCGCCTCCCAGGCCTGTCTGGTAGAGGGCCTCTTGTATGTAATGCTTTTTGAGAAGAGCCCAGGCTTTAGCCCTGGAGCACTCTCAGCCCTCCCCATTGTACAAGGCCAGGCCACTCATTCTCTGGACATGGTGGGCTTCTCCCTTCCAAACTCTTAAAATAAAGCCCACCTTAGCAGGGGAACCCCGCCCAGATGCCACAGAGGAGGGCTGGCACCAGGCATTGGATGACCTGCTGTACAGAGCACCCGAGCCTTCTCTGGGATTTGCTGCTCCACTTGTTAACCTAAAGTTACCAAAAGTTTCTGGGTCAAGATCAACTTTTTTGGGGTGTTCTGGGGACTGAAGCCACGGCTTTACCCATGCTCAGCACATGCTATGCACTGAGCTGGAAGAACAATTATTAAGAAAAATTCTTAAAACCTTTTTAATGTTGTGAAATATGGCAAATATAGAAAAAGGCTATAAACGTATACATTCACATCATGTATGCTGTAAACACCCCCGTACCCACCCCCAGGTCACTGGGTTTCACGTGCCAGTGGTTGCCACTGCCGGATCCTGAATCACAGGCCGTGAACAACTGGGGTCACTCTGGAGCCCGCGTCCTGAGGCCTCCTCCACTCGGAGAGCAGGTTCGGCGCCAGCTGTGCTTACATGTACTGCACAGCTCTCAGGTCTCACTGTGGTGTGGGCAGGGTCCCCTCCAAAGCCCTCCAGTCAGTCTTGATGTCTGTGCGTGTCCCGTGGGGCGTGTGGGGGTGACCCCTCCATGTGTTCATGCCTTTCGTATCGTTTCCCCGACAAAGTCCATTTGGACAAAATAGCTTTGGCGTTGCCATTTCACACAGATCTCCCTAGGGCCATGCTTTCCTTTCCGGAATTTGGTTTGGCAGTTTCCTACTGCCTCGTCAGACCTGGATTTAAGGAGACTTGTAATTTTGACATCTTTTACCCATTTTACTCTGAGGGTTTTTTTTTTCTTTTGTACAGTTTAAGGGTAATTTGAAGAAATATATTATAATGAAATCTTTCTAGTTGCTAGCAGAGGATTAGCTGAATTACACAGCCTACCACTACTAGAAGTAGAACACAGGACAGTTTTCACATTTTTTTAAGTGAGTGGCATGGGAGAGCAGAGGGTTGGGGACACTTGGAGATACTATTTTTCTTCAGCCCAGCATCACTGTCACAAGCACACACAGTTCAGGACTGCTCCTGCGTAAGCCTGCTGGATTCTCTCAGAAAGGGTTTGGGCACTAATTTTGTGATGATTTTTTTTTTCTACTTTTCAATGTTGAAATTCATGTAAATGCTCTTTCATCTTTAAGGTTGTCCATTTGTTTGAAAAATATTTTTAAAAATAAGATTAGTACCAGTGATTTTTTCCAAAATAAAATCCTGTCTTCCTTGGCGGCGTCCAGAATGCTGACAGTGACTTCTGGTAGTATTTTGTAATGTGTGTGTGTGTGTGTGTGTGTGTGTGTGTGTGCCTGTGTGTGTGCACATACATACACATGTGCTTCTGAAGGCCAAAAGACAAGACTGCAAGGAGCAGCCATGGGCCCTACGTGTAGACCTGCATGACACTGTTTTGGTGGCTGGTTATCTTGTGCAACCCTGGAATGAAAGGACTGTGAATGCTGGTCACTCTTCTGCAGTTAGTCACACATCCAGGACAAGTTCGGGGGCAAGCCAGGGCTTTGCAAGAGCTAGGGAGATTTTCTAAGCTGTGACCACTGCCATTTTGCGCTCCTTTACAGTGATACTTGCCAATAGCTGCTGGCTCAGGTGAGCAGCATATCTTCCAGGAAGTCTGAGCCAGGCTTGTGTGGCCCACCTTGGGGCAGGGACAGAGCCAGCACAGGTATCCAGTTTGTCCCTGGGCTTCACTGACCTGATTTCCTCCTCAGGTCAACCATGACATCTAATTTCACCTCTCACTAGGCCTGTGGCCTGATATCGACAGCTAATAAAGTAGTGGCCGCGTTTCACTACCCTGATTCCTGATATCTTAATTCCCTAGCCTAAAAGTCTTTAAGAAAAACCAAAACAACTAGAGTTCCTGTTGCAATCTGCTTTTGGTTTCATGTGCCAACACCATGATCTCATTTAATCTTGCACAACACTGAGAGAGGAGTACTGCGGTTCTTCACTTTGCTGGAAGCAACAGAAAAGGAAGGCCATCTATGTTTACTATCATGATTGCTTATTTTTGCCATACTAGGAATTGAACATAAAGCTTTTGCACTGAGCTACACATCCCTATTCCCAGTCTTTGCTTATTTTTTGACACAGGATCTGTCTAAGTCTTTAAGTTGCCCAGGCTGGGCTCAACTTGTGCTCCTCCTGCCTTAGCCTGATAGTGTCCTGCTAATGAAGATATATAACACTCAGAGCAAGAATGCCTTATCTGTTAGGTTGTTTTTTTTATTCTGCTTGTCCAAAGAAAGATCCTTGGTCACTACTTCTGATATGACATTTGTAGCCAAGAAATGTTCTATCTAGCTGGAATTCCTCCCGCTGAAGCTTAGGTATTGTTCCTTGTTCCATAGCAGGCGTTCATAACAGAGGCTCTGTCTTCACCCAGTGAGAGGCAAAGACTAGCAGGGTCTTGCTCTGGATTTGCTGCTCACTGGGAGCAAAGCCCTGAACAAAGACTACAACTTCTTTGGGTCTGCAAAAAATGAAGCTAAGAACATCTGGCACATTTGCCTGCAGGGCTGGGGACAATGTCTCTTCAACACATGGATGTGAAACTGCTGTGGAGCCAGTTCCCAGTTTTTCTCCAAACTATCTGCTCTGTGCTGTCTTCTGTCAATGTGTCATGACTTACCACAAACCCATTATATGTCTTAGACTTATTGCCTTATAATTCTATGGCCCAGAAGCCAAACACGGGTTCCGCTGGACTAAAAGCAAGGTGTGAGATGAGCATCCTGCTCTCTGCAGGTCCAAAGGAAAATCAGTTTCCTTGCATTTACTTGCTGCATTCCTCCAGCTCCCAGAGGCCACCCATATCCCTTGGCTCATGGTCATCTTCCTCCATCTTCAAAGTTAGCCACAAGTCAACTCTCCGGCCCTGCTTCTCTCACTCATCACTTCTCTGACCCTTTCTTCTCATTCCACATTTAAAGCCCTTGACTACACTGAGCCCACCTGGAACATTCAGAGTAATCTCATTTTAAGGTCAACTGAGAAGTAGATTTACTTCTACTTGGAACCTTAGTGGCCTTTGCCATGTAATGTAAGCATATTTATAGGTCTCAGGGACTATGACTTTTGAGAACATTCTTTTTGCCATAAACCCAAAGCCTTCATTTCTCATCAGTATCTGTTCCCTCATCTCCTCTAAGTCACCTCCTGGGTTCAAGCAACTCAAGCAATGCTGAAGTAGTAACAGGTCCAGGATGAATATGGTATTCTTGAAGGGCTTTGTCCAAGCTGCATTTGCATGAGTGATATGTGGTCTTGGGCACACAAACCTCAGCCACTGGCAGGCTCACACTGGGAAAAGTCAGAGATGAACACTTATAGCAGCAGATGAAATAAAATATCGGTGCTCTCCCTCTATGTTTTCAGGTGTGGATTTGGTCAAAAGCCAAGTTTATCAATAGGAAGTTCCTAATGGAGGAACTTTACCAGCATTTTCTAGATGGAGAGGACAGCCACGTGGCTCAAGAGGATGACCCTTTCTGGGATCCTGCCGAGGTCATCCACTTGGGCTCAGCCCACGTCTGGCTCCAGTCGCTTGCCTACTGCATGAAGTTTGAGGACCAAGTGGAGTTTCTGAACTGTGATGGGCTGGAGGAGGCAGTGCTGCACGTCCACATCACCCCTTGCTCCCCAGCAGGATGGTGTGTATCTCCTTCTCCCCTTCCCTCGTTCAGGGTCAGTCACACATAGCAAGCTTGAGTTTTCTGGAGCGGGGGCTGTCAGTTTGATACCTGAAGTGGTCGTGAGACCAATGAACACCCTCATTCATTCATGAGTTAGCCTCACTGAATCTGACTTTTTCCATGACAGCCAAAGCAGCTGACCTGGAATGCCCAGCAGCATTCAAGACAGCTCAGCACTGCCCTAGTGACCAAAGGCAGGAGGAGGGCATTCCCCAAAGGCCAGGGAAGTAGGAAGCGTAGTAGAAGGAGACTTAGCAAACAACCAAAAAACCTGAGTTGGAGCTAAACAGTCGACCTTCAGAGGAGCAAGCCAGTGCATTGGGGACTCCCTCCGGCCTCTCCTGGCACTGTAAGGTCTGGTATCTGCAACGCACAGGATGCTTTTCCATGCTGAAGGCCCATCCTGCTGATGAAGCCCAAGCTCCAGAAGCAGCAAGATGATTTTTCTAGCTCACCTCTTCTCCTCGATAGAGGCCCAACCACTTTTTTTCCCTCAAAGTAGGGACTAAGATGCCTGACCTCTTCCTAAGCTATTTGATCTTCTGTGGGTTTAGGCTTAGTTTTAAGCTATCAGTTCCATCCTAACTGCTGCTGTTACCTTTTACCATCCCCTCAGGATGTCTGTTTTTTTTTCCTCTGTCTTAGGCCATAAGCAGTTTGTATAAAAGCTAAAGTCTTTTAGCAATACTAAACAAAGATGCTGGCAGGGGCCTCGTTTGGAAGCCAACACTTCAAGACACATAGTGTAACCTTTCTGTCTTGCCGAAGAGAAAGCAAGCTCAAGAAGGGTGTAAAGAAATTTAAGGTCTTGTAATCAAAAGACCAAGCTGGCCAGCTCATGGTCTCTACTGGGACTCCATGCAAGCTCCGGTCATTTGGCTATCGTGGCCCTCTAGACTGCTGGATAGTTACACTGCAAGTTAATCAAGTGACTCTCACTTATGGGTCTCGGACTCTGTGAAGTTGGTTGACGTGAGGCAGCTCCCCTGTTGAAAAGCTGTCCGAATTAGTATCTGAGCTTGTAGGCCTGGGATAAACTCTGAACTAAAAAGAATTCACCAAGGAAAAAATTTGCGAGGCTGTACCAGGGCAGCCACTTGGCTTTCCCTCCTTCCCACTAGGAACCTCCGTCAATCTTCAGGGCAAGCTTAGCACTCATACCTGTGGGCATTTATTATGATGCCGTTTATAATTCCTTCTTCTCCAGCTGTGTGTGAGCACCTGAGATCTACATTATTACCTTGAGGCACCAGGGTAGGGTATGCTCCCATGAAGCGTCTCTTGAATGAATTTTACAACTGGTAACATTACTCATCTTTCCTTTGGTGAAATTAGCTGTTCCTTCAGGCTTCTATTTCATTCCCTTGACATCGCAATGCTAACTTGCATCACCTAGCATAATCTGAAATCAGCGGTTTCCTTTGTGTTTGTAGCGCACACAGCGAGGAGGATGTGGTGATTGACCCTTTGGAGCTGCTGGGCAAGAGGATTGACTTCCAGATTCACCTTGTCCGTTGCCTTGGCATCAAGTGGCTAAAGGAGGATGCAAAGCGGGGCATTCAGATGGGGTGGGTACCACCTTGCATCACAGACCTGTTGGCATTATCCTCATACTGTGTGACTTCCAGAGGAAGGGAGGCTTCCTCAAGTTTAGAAAATGAGTTAATCGTGAAATATTAATCTTCTTCCATTTGCCCAACTGCAAAATCACTATCTCCCCTCCCCATCTCTTAATGAGAGATGTCCCTCTACATTACGAGACTGTGGTCAGTGAGTACTGAACCTTTATGTGATTAAAGCAGGGGAGCTAAATCTTACCAGAAAGAATAACTAGTGAAACTGTATCAACTAAGTAAAATGCTTTGGTTGGAAATAAAACCATTACAGCATGACAAGATGTACCAGATACAGTTATACTGATTAGGTTACAGACATACTGAAAGATAAAGCAATAAAGAAAAGGATACTTTGAAGAATAAAAACTAAACCACCACCTCACCTGGAAAAGTAACAATTTTGGAGTATCTAAACAGAAAATATTAAAATCCTTCTTCCTGTTAGACATTATCAATCATGGAGTGATGATGCCAGTGCTGAGTAAGATGTGGGGGCAGCAACCGTGAGAGCTGGGTATTAGCCACCTTTTTATCTACCTGGGGCACGGGTTGTAATTCTTTGGCTCACTGACCCCCTCCTCCCACTTTTAAAATGTGTTCCTTCTGATTTTAAATTATATCTTATGTCTTTTCTCAGTTACAGGATTTATGATCTCCCAATCACGTTATATACCAAACCTGTATGGAAAACTGTGAATCCCCAAATTGAAGAGACTGTCCAATTTGCAGCCTTCAGTGCATCTCAGGAGTTTCTGAATTATTTACAGACCAATGCTCTCGTGGTTGATTTGTGGGGCCTTCAAGGTACCTCGCTCACTTCTTTGCGTGGTGCATTATTGTACAATGTTAGCATGTCTCATGATGCAGAAGAGGGAAAGGAGGGAGGCTGTTGGGATCTGGGCAAGACCCATCCTTCCCCGGGGCACCTGGATTCTAGTCCAGCAGGTGAATACATGGTCTAACATCTCCTTACGGCCTGGGCCGGACAACTGAGGCTTCCTTTCCTTGACGGTGTTTCTCCCACACTACAGAAGGTTGTGCTGAGCTGAGCTGCTCTCAGCTGGACCTCATGGTCACAAATGAAGGCCACATCATGCTAGACACCAAGAAAATTTCCAACGTGAAGGACACGGGCCAGGTGTGTACATGTGACATAAATACTGGCATCAGAGATGACTAGAAAATATCAGATGACAGGTGCTTGAGGATCATCAGTGTTTATTCCCCGTAACAAAAGATTTGACAAATGCCTGATTACCCCGAGGGGCTTCAGCCTTGGCTCCCCAGTGCCCCATCCCAATCCCACTGGGTTTTCATGAGGGAGTAAACTGTCAGGCTCGAAGGATAACCCAGGCAATACAGCAAAAGGCTGTACTGACATCTTTTGTAGGCTACATCCAATCAGACATCAGATCTTTACCTGAAGGTGCTCAAGTTAGAGCAGGAGATGGAACTCCTCCGAAACATAAACAGAACACTGAGAGAGGAAAACATGTTTCTCAAGGAATCACTGGAGAAAACTGGTTCTGGTCAACAAGGTGAGAGACTGCTTCGGGCATGGGTATCCCAGAGCCCCTGCATTTTTCTCAGACATGACCTTCTTAATGAGTTAATTTATACAGTATCTTGTTTCATAAACAAAAATGCAAGTCAGGGGCTGGGGATTTAGCTCAGTGGCACAGCGCCTGCCTGGCAAGCGTGAGGTCATGAGTTCGATTCCTGGTACCGGAAAACAAACAAACAAAAAAATGCAAGTCATTTTTTTCTTCCCTATAAGATTTCTTGGGATGGGCCCAAAGTGATGCTACAAATATGCAGGTAAATGCAGATATACAAGAATGACACCAAAATAAATAAGGATCAAGATAACTAAATACACAGATGAATAAACAAAACTTTGTCTTCTACCACAGCCCATACGCCTTCCAATATCCTGAAAATAACTCAGAGGACAGCCGGAGTGCCATCAGCCAGAGAGATTCATCAGATGTACACGCAGCAAGCCAGCTGTGACAGGGAGTTTGCCAAAGCTCTTAAGGTGTTCTACCAAAGCATGAACATGGCAAGAGGGCATTTTCTCAGACTGAGACAGTGTAAACCTCCTGTGAGTAGCCCAACCTTGGGAGCCTCTTCCATCCAATCTACAGACATTTTCAATTTAGACATCTGTGATAACTGCCTTTTCTTTGCTTGGAGATGTATGTGTTTAAGCAGATAGCAGGTTAAAGCACTATAAGCATGGTCCTCTGCTGTCTTGGGCCTCTATCCATCTTTACTTTGGCCTTTCTATTTTAGTACATGTCTGGCTGGTTGCACACAGCTACGGTCACTGCAGGATATTCATTCACTTTATGATATATAGAATATCCAGGAACGCAAGTTTGGTTTAGCATTATAAAACCAAACGCAATTCATCACATTAAGAGATTACAGGAGAAATGGGCTGGGAGTGGTGGTACACACCTGTAAAATCCCAGCACTCAGGTGGCTAAGGCAGGAGGACTGCTGTGAGTTTGAGGCCAGCCTAGGTTATACAGTGAGACCCTGTCTCAAAAAAAAACAAAAAACAAAAACAGAAAAAAAAAAAAAAAGCAAGAGATTACAGGTGAAAAACAGTCTGATTACTTCAATGAGAAAAAATTGAGCATCCTATTGACAAACTAAAAATAAAACAGACATCCCCCAATCTGATAAGGACAATCTCAGGCAAACAGCAAACATAATGCTCAACAGTAAATGAAAGTGTTCTTTCTCACATCAGGAAAGAGTTAGGGATGCTGGCCAGTACTTTAGGTTCTAGCCAGTGCAGTGAGACCAAAAAATACGGAGTGGAAGGATTGTGAAGGGAAACAAGGAATTTCAAGAATGTCATCTATTTATATAACACTAAGCACTTTACACTTGGTGACTCACAAGCACCCTAGGAGACAGCTACTATTAGCCTGTTTCCGCAGTCAGTGGATGGAATGCACAAGTGAGGCTGGCGAACTTGCCCCAGGATACAGGTTCTTCGCAAACTGCAGGGCTAAGATCCCAACTGGGCCATGATGCTCTACAGATGCTCTTCCCGCTACACTGTGCGGTGTCCACCATTATTTGGAGAGGACACGCTCGTGTACATGGAAAATCCCAGAGTTTATAAATAAATTAATAGAATCACAAAGCTCTGGATTAAAAATCAATATTTAAAAATTAATTGCATTTAACTATAATAGCACTAAAATCATTTTAAAATATGCCAATGATAGTTGTGTCAAATATATGGAATACTTAAGCCTATAACGTAAAATATGCAGGACTTCTATGAAGAAAATTTTAAACTTGTTTGAGAGATGTTCAAGAAGATGCCCCACGTAGAGAAATCCGCCATGTTTCCATGGTTTGGAAGATTTGCTATTGTCAATCTGTCACTTCTCCCCAAGATTCAGTGTAATCCTGAACAGACGAAATGGAACCTGACCAAATGCTCTAGTTTATATGGAATTGCAAAAACAAAGAGCAAGTAGGAAGAACATGGTAGGAGGACTTTGCCCTACTTGGTATTAACTTATTTGAAGGTACTGACCCAAATATAGATAATGAAGAAAAAGAATACAAGGCCAAGAAATAGACTGTTCTGGACTAGAGACTGGATGTTGACCAAAGTGGAGCGGAAGGTGAGTGTGGCAACATGAACATTTCCATAGACAGTGCAAGTGTCTCCCCCTCCCCCTCCCGGTTACCACGAGGTGAACGGTCCTCTTCTGCCATACACTCCTGCCACGATGTACAGCGCAGCTGCAGGTCCAAAGCAACTAAACGAAAATGAAACTTTCCTCCTCCTAAGTTGTTTATCCCAGACATTTGTCACAACAGAAAGCTGACATGGGGAAAGTAAAACTAAATTCAGTTCTAAAGCTATATACTTGGAAATCAATTTTAGATGAGAATTAAAGACAACACTATCACTTTTTTTGAAAGACAACACTATCACTTTTTTTGTTTTGTTCTATTCCAAGACAGTCTTGCTACGTCGTTTAGGCTGGCCTTGAACTATGCCTATATGCATGCAGTCCAGTCTCCCGAGTAGTGGGATTACAGGCCTGCACCACCACCTCCGGCACAGCCCTATCATTCTTAGAAGAAAACTTGAGACTGTCTTTGTGAGCTCACAGTGGAAAAGGTTTCTTAACACATGATAAAACAAACAATAAAAACTGGCTTTTAAGAAAGAGATAAATTCACCTACATTAAAATTGTGAACTCTGATCCATCAAAAGACACCGAAAGGGATATAAAAAATTATTTGCAACACATTTAACATACGATGAATATCCAAATAAAATATACATATATATATATATATATATATATATATATATGATGAACTAATATCCAAATAAAAGGAAAAACAGAGCTAGACAACCCAATGGAAAAAACTGTTCAAGTGACATGAACAGGTACTATACAAATGAAAAAATCAGAAAGGCAATGGATATATGAAAAAGTGCTTAAGTTCATTAACAGTTTGGGAAATACAACGAGGTACCATTATAAGCCATTCATACTGGCAAAAATTAAAACATGACATCAAGATTGGAGAAGATAGGAAACAACACAAACTGTCGTGCACAGCTAGAGGCACAGAACCAGTCTGAGCACTTAAAAACTGTTGGGCATTTACCCAAAATAGGTTGAAGATACTATACCCTAGAATCCTGCAACTCAACTCCCTTCTCCACTGGCTCTGTAGAGAATTAGGCCACAATACCCTCAGGTACAGGTTCTCCAAGTGGCCCCCAACTAGCAGCAATTCTCCTCTCAGGGTAACCTATTTCCATGGGGTAAGGGATACATCAGAGAACCCACCCTCACGACTTCCTTAGTAAACCTGAGAACTTTGATAATATTGAAAGAATATGTAACATTCCAGTCTGAACTATTTGGATTATTTCATCCATTTCTGGCAGACAGGTGGCCTTCTAGAAACCAGGTTGCTCCTACGTAACTAACACTACCAGCCACTTTCAATTCTCTAGACCAACAGGAAAGCTTACAGCACACTCCACTTACATACACAAAACATTTCTTAGTCTAATGAGATGAAGGGTACTACTATCATTTTTCTCTTTCATTTATTTTTTAGGAAGATGATCAAATGCTTCGGCCATTCATACACCAACAATCACAGATGTTAAAGGACTTTGGGGACCTGCTTGAATCCAGCTTGTGGAAACTGAAAAATGACATTGCTCTCATAGTGAAAAAGAAGAGAGAATATTTACTGCATGTCAGACAGTGAGGGTGCACCAAGTGGAAGCTGCAAACGCTTGAGCTGAGTGGTGTAGACCATCTATGCAGATAATGGGGCTTACTTCACCCACTCAACTTAGTTCTTCCATTTTTAATTGAAACAATGCCCCTATAATTTAATTTTAACTCATACAAAATGAACCCACATGCAGGATGGAGGAGAAATGTGAGACTAGAGGTAAATGGTTACCAGACTGAGCTGTGGGATCACAGCCCAGGGTTAAATCCTGGTTAAGGACATCATTTATCAATTTGAAGGTTTGGGGCAACTGACCTCCCCTCTCTAGGCCTGTCTTTGCTCACCAGTCAGATGAATACATTATCAATATTTACAGCACAGTTAATAAATATACAGCAATGATTTTGTTCATGAATGCTTCTGTTTGCGAGCAATTTGGTTCATGAACAAGTGTTGGCAAAATTTTGCTTCTATTAGAGAATTCTACATTGGGTTGTGAACACAACCATGGCCATCTTCCCCACACAAACACAAATGTGGCCATCTTCTTCAGAATCGTGGAGCAAATTCAGTGTGTGAACCAAGGTACCACTGTAAGCAACCTTGCACACAGAAGTGATCAGTAAGCATTTACCATTAGAATTCAGATGTGGTGTTGTGGCTTGCCCTGATGTCCTGAACTGATTCAAAATGCTTACCTTTCACCGTCATTTTGACTGTGAGGAAAAGCCAGAAGTCACATTGTGAACAGGAGGACGAAGATATACCATTATGTTTTTACAAGCCTGCCTTTCCTTACATAGACTTGGCAGTAGTGCTGCCGTATTTTTTATCACACTTTGTAAAAGTCAAGAAGGTGCGCTTCCAAGGGCCGGGATGTAACTCCGTGGGGCAACGCCTGCCTGGCAAGCACGAGGTCATGAGTTTGACTCCCAATACCAAGAAAAGAAAGTGGGCTTCCAGCACTGCTTCAGAAAGTGCCAAGAATGATGAGATAAGTGTGTCTGAATCGAGAGGGAGCTTTTGAGGGGGTTAATGACAATGTGTTCTTTAGTGTAATACATTTCTAAAAATTTAAACATTCACCACAGAATACTATCCAACCTTAAAAAAAAAAAAAAACAAAAAAAAAACAAGATATTCTGTTATTTGTGAAAACATGGATGAACCTAGAGGACACTATTAAGTGAGATAAGCTAGGCAGAAAGACAAACACCATATGATCTCATATTCGGAATCTAAAAAAGGAGAAGTGACAGAAGGACAGAGCAGAATGGTAGCCCCCAGGGGCTTAGGGGATCCAGGAGAATGGGGAAAAGAAGATGCTGGTCAATGAGTACAGTCACAGTTAGGAGGAAGAAAGCTGAGTGTTCTATCTCACGGCAAACTACTACCGTTAACAGTAATGTATATTTCAGAATAGCTAATAGGATTTTAAATGTTCTCACTGCAAATCTGTGATACATATTTGAGGTGATGGATATTCCAATTACTCTACTCACTCTAAAATGTATACATGTTTTGAAATGTTATCTTGAACCCTACGAATATATATATATAATATAATATATATATTTAATGAAAATATTTAAAATTTAAAAATAAAAGAATCTGCCTAAGTTAGGCTCCTTCCCTTCTCTAATATATAGTTCAGATGAGTCTCCTAACATGAATAATACACTGCTACAGATTTCATGCTTCTCATTTAAGAGCAGAAGTTCATGAAAGGTAAATGTTTCCTTTACATAATAAACAACATGAACACTATATGTGTTTATGATTATTATAAAAGGAAAAGTTCTTCACCTTAATTTATGGCTTTAATAAAAACTAGTTAAAATATAAAAAGTAAATTAGAGAAAAATTCTGCTTAAGCAGTGAAGACCAACAGAAACTTATAAGCTGTCTTCTTAAAACTAATTACAGGTATAGAACTCGGGGAAGAAAAAAGTGACAAGCCCAATAACTGGCAGTAAACAGGTTCAGATCATGTAAAGCAGTACGTATCTACCACTACGCACACAGCAGGCCCAAACAAAAAAACATCATTGACAACCCTTTATTATTCAACCTAGGTAGCAGCCCAAAATCAGTCAGTGCAGACAGGTGAAAAAGCAGGCGAAAATAGAAAAAGTGCTGTTTCATTTAGCAAAAGCTCACACAGTATGCAGAGAAACTCACTGGAGGGCGAGACTCCGTTTGGTCCCACAGCAAGCGAGGCAACAGGGACTGCCCGAGCAGAGCGCCGCCGGGCTGAGCACCCTCACTGAGGAATGCCGTTAGCAACACAGACGGGGACACCTCGGCCACCACCTGACCTACCAGCTCATTCATTAAAATTCATCAGGAACATGTCAATGAAAAAGTCAGTCAAATATTTTCTCTCACAAGCAATAAAGTCATAAAATCAGCTGGGATCTGAAGTTTAAGGTCAGCTAGTAATTTCCTGCTTTTAATGTGTAGATATTTTAGATTTGACAATCTTTTCCATATATAGTCAGATAGGCTTATAGAAGAATTTAAAATATCAAATACAGAAGCTGTTAATTCATGCTTTTATGACTTCAGTTAATCTTCAAATATTTAGACTTCAGAGCTGCTAATGACGCTGAATTCAATGCCACGCTGGTTGAGTCTGTCGATCAGTTTTGTTCTGGAGAAAGCTGCACCAGGTGTGAAGACCCCGCCCCTGTAAAACAGTAACAGGAGAAAACGGTTCACACCTTTCCTCTCCAGCCTCCCCTGTGTGAGCAAAGTCCTGCAGAACTCCTGAAAAGTGAGTCTGTCCTATCACGGCTGGTTCTGATTCTAGTCCTAAAATCAGCCAAATGAACAAATGGCTACTTTTCAAGAGAAATTAGTGTCCCAGCACCCCCTGCTGAGACTGGCTCCATTCTGGTGAGACGGCTCCTGTGCTACTGGCTGCTCAAGAGGCACACCGTCAACGCGAGTGCTGTTGTTTTTAAAGAGTCTTCAGCTTTGGGAGGATTAAACGAAGACTTTAATGAATAAGTTGGATTTAAACTAGATGAAAAAGAAGCCTCTTCAGTAGCTAACATCTGGAAAACACCAAATATTTTCAAAGGGTATGTAAGTACCTGAAAATTATTAGGTTTTAGTATATACAAATTTTACTTTTATTAAATAAAACTTTTACTGTTTTAGGTTATACCTGATTTCTCAGCTGCGGGCTTATGTTTATTTGTAAAACTGGCCTAGTTTCAAGGTAACAGCTAAATGTTCCAGTAAAAGTACGTGATAACCATCTAGCCAGTTCACACCTGGTGCCAGTCAGGGCACCCTGCCAGCTGGGCATCACTCAACACTGATTAGAGGCTCCTGCTGATACTATTTAACAATAGCAACTTTTTCTGAGCGGCGGGCTCTGGACTGCAGCCACTTATGTAAGGAAACTGGAGCCAATTTACATGGCTCTCAGACCTCTTGGTCGCTCTCCCTTTACCTCTAAGGTTATTCACAAAGTAGCTTGTATCTCTGAATCAACACAACTAAAAATACTTATGTGCAAACCCGAAACCTGAAAATCAAACTTAAAAAAATGTAACATAGATACAAAAGTATCTTCTCACTAGAAGAGAAGGACACTCACCCTTTAGGAAGATCAGAGGCCTCACTGAGGAGAGTCACGGCTGCCTGAACCATGGCTATGGGGGTAGTGACATAGCCAGCCTCTGCAGAAGACAGGTGATTAAGGAAAAGAAAGTGTTTATGAAGTTTGCATTCAGCAACACCCAAAAATGAAATAGTGGATTTGGGATCTTATTCTAGGCATCCAGAATTTTGTCCAATACATATTTTGGTCACTTTACAAAAATAACAATTGACATTTATTTAGTACAGGTTGAATATTCTTCATTCAAAATGCTTGAGACTTGTTTCTTAAATTTCAGATTTTTAAATGTCTGCATATACATAAAAAGGTATCTGGGGGAAGGGACCCAAGTCCACGTATGAAATTCATTTGTTTCCAGTACACTTAACAGACATTACCCGAAGATAATGCTGAGCAGAATTTTTAGCATGCCTGCACTCCGTCTATAAGGTCATGAGTAGAATTCTCCATGTGGTGTCCTACTGGTACTCAAAATATTTTAGATTTTGGAGCATTTCAAATTTCACATGCTCAGCCTGGATTTATTACATGTATTTTGTTTTATTTATTTTATTTTATTTTTTATTTAAGCTTTAGAAGCTGTATACATTTAGTGCTTTAAGTGTACTAAGCTAAATTTCCACTAACGTTCACAGAGATTAGTATACTTTCAGCTCCATCTTGCAGATGAGGAAACTGAAGCGCGGTCATTTTGCCTTGTCCAAACACAAAGTAAGGCAGTGCGTGAGCCACCATCACACTCAGGCCGCAGGCTCAGGGACCACGCTTTGACTCACTATGGCCACTGTTTCTTCATATTTGAAGCCAATTATTCCAGGTTTTTTGTTTCCACATAAATACACTAAACTGGTCACCATTAACTTTTTTTTGGTGGTGGCACTGGGGATTGAATCCACAGCTTTGCACATGCTAAACAAGGGCTGTACCACTGACCTATATCCCTACTCCTTATTTTGAAACAGGGTTGTGCTGTAATTGTTAAGGTGGCCTCAAACTTAAGACCTTCTTGTCTCAGCCTCCTGAGTAGCTAGGATTATAGATGTGCACCGCCACGCCAGGTAGTGCACATATTTAAACAACTCCCAGTATCAAGAGAAACAACTGACTACCCCAGCACTCTGGGAGGCTAAAGCAGGAGGATCACACTTTCAAGACCATCCCGGGCAATTCAGCAACTTAGTTAAGACCCTGTCTTGAGAAAAAACCTGGAAATGTAGCTAGGTGCAAAGACCCTCAGTTTTTTGTTTTTTGGGGTTTTTTGGTACAGGGAATCGAACTCATGACCTCAGGCTTACCGGGCAAGCGCTTATGCCACTGAGCTACATCCCCGGCCCAAGACCCTTGGTTTAATCCCTACTCCTACCCCCTCATACTCCCACAAAAAAACCTGACTAAACCTGAGCAAACTTAAAAGGAAGTGTATGAGCAAGTGAGATATCACTATTTACATTCCTGTCAAATAATAAAAACATGTAAGGTATCATCAAAAAATATGAATGTTTAAATTTTTAAAAAATTATTACAGTATAAACACATTGCTACTGATCCCTCACAATCCTCTGAACTTCGAACATACTTATCCTGTCATTCTTGCCACTTCCTGAAGGAGTTCTGGAAGGCCTCTTTCATGTCTTTAGTTATTCTTGTTATGGCTCCTCAATGTTCTGACTCAAAACATTTACCTTTCATGATCACTTTGACTTGGTGGAAGAGCCAGAAGTTACACAGTGCCAGGTCTGGTAAATAAACGGGTGAGGACACACTGTACCATCTTTCTGAGCCTGCCTTTCTGTTCAGTGACACTTGGCAGCAACATTCACCATATTTTGTTTTGTTTTTGTCTTTTTGAGACAGGGTCTCACTATGCAG